CCAAGGGTTGGGATCCGCTTACCAGTCACGAAAAAGGAAAAAAAAAAAAAAAAAAAAAGAAGTAGAATTTTAGGAGCTGTTTACTGAAGGAAGGCCAAGGAAAGGACTTGGGATTTGGGGAATATGATATCCCATGAGAGGAGGTACAGAGGAACAAAGAGAGGGGGAAAGGATCAGGCTGAAACACAGGATCAAATGAGGAAGTGAGATAACCAGGAAGGAAGGATGATCAGGTCCCAGGGGCAGTGATCATCCATAACAAGCAAGTGCAGGTGGACAGAGCAACAGGTGGAATAGAGCTTCCTAGAAATTCCAAAGAACTTGAGCGGAGCTAAACTACAGACAGAATACCAGAGACAAGGGACCAGATTAAACCAGAGGAGAGAGTAGCAGGTGTTGCCTACAGCAGTGTACAGTGGGTGGAATGGGCCATAATGGACAGAGTATTTTTCTGCCAGGATGGTAACTAGTTAATTTCTCTTTGTCTGCTAAAGAGGAGATGAATTTAGGGCTGGATGTTTTGCTCACTCGGTTAGAAGGTTAGAGCATGGTGCTAATAACACCAGGGTCAAGGGTTCAGATTCTCTGACTGGCCACCCGTCATATAAAATAAAATAGAGGAGATGAATTTATATGCAGGAAAAGAACATATAGACAGCAAGCAAGAAGTATTGTAACCTGGTAGGTCAGAGAATAGTTGTCCTCAGATTCTCAAATTGCTGTTTTGAGGAAAGGTGAGGTTCCCATGTGATTGAATTAGGAACATCTTGTATAAATTAGAGAATGACCCATGAATAAGGATGAAGAGATTAGAGGTAATGGTTTGCAACTTCATTACAAGGGGCCTGTGGGATAGGGGAGGAAGGGTGTGGCAGTGGTTATGCAATGATTTGGCACCAAAGGTGGAACTTGATTCCTTGCTTGAGCTGGGATCTTGTGGTGGGTGTAAGCATGAGTGTCCAGAGAGAAAGTTCATGACTGGCCTCATCCTTTGGGCACTCTCTGTGCCCTGGCCAAGTTCTTGTATGCACTTACATCCTTTAACCAGTTTCTTACTGCTTGTCATTTCTTCTCTGGAATTACAAGCACTGATTATACCCCTGAATTTCCTAAGTGCTAGACACAGGCCTCCAAGACCAGTGTGCCCTCTGCCACAGAACCTTCTGGTAAATCTTTGCACCCAGCTCCTTTCCTTCACTTCTTTGAGGCAGTGCCTCTTGTCATTCCTGTAATTAGAATACACACACCTATGTCTGTCTCCCTGTGATGAATGATGTGTGTGCCATCGCTTTTTCACCGGGACAGGATTATTATTTTCCCAAGCCTTATATTGTCTATCTTGTTTTCCCTGCCAGAAACTGAGTTCCTTGAAGGCAGAATCTCCATTTTTCTCTGAATCTCCAAGGCCCAGCCAAGAAGAGACCATGCTTATTACCAAACCCCTCTCTGCTTGAGAACTCTATGTTCTCAGTACTGTGGTAATAAGCACATCCTCTCTATGATTCCCCAATCTTTCACATTTTGAGAATCCTGAGGATACCACCAGAACCCGAGTCATGCAGGGTACAGACCCATTGTACAGAGCTCGGGCCAAATCCATTTAACCAACACAGTTGCAACACCTGCTCCATGCAAGGTGCTGAGATATGCAGTTCTGCACCTGGAGAGCTGGTGGGGAGATAGACATACACAAATACTTCTCACACCAGGCAGGCCGTGATGATTAGTGCTAGGAGAGTGGGTGACCCATGAGACTCAGACACATGGTTCTTCAGATTCTAGGGGGAAGCAAGGGAGGGAGCTAGAGAGATGGAGGTTGGGGATGGCAGGGGGTATAATCTTATGGTTAGCAGATTCTGGCAAAGAGTTCTTGGAGCTTTCCAATCCCCAGTGTGTGGCTCCTTCTGTGGCCTGCCCCTCCTAGAGCAAACTTTGCTTTCCGAGAATTTCCCTCCACTTCTATCCCTCACCTCTCCTAAGAACCTTCTGCTCAGGCAACCTGGCCCATTGGAAGTCATCAGAGGGTGGCCTTTGGAAAGTGGGCAGTGTCGCCTTCTATTGAGGGTCAGTCCCAGGCAAACTGCTGTCTACTCCAGCTGGCTCTAGTGCCCCCTCCATCCCATCCCTCTTCCCTGGGCCCAGATAGGAGGGGAGGGAGAAGGGCTAGGGCAGTGTTGTCTTTTTAAATTGCTCTGCATCCCTGCTTCAGCTCTGGCAGGCAAAGGACCAGTGTCAAGCCTCCTCCTGGTTCCCTAGGCTTGTCACAGAGCTTTACAGTTCCAAATCCTTTCTACCTATGAAGCTGGTATTACATCCACTATAAGAGAAGACAGAACCAGAGGGGTTCAATGACTTCGACAAGGTCATGCAGTCAATTAGAATGGGAACCGAGTGTCCTGATCCTTAGAGGTAGCCCTTTCCTCCAATTCCCTCAGCCTCCTCCCCGGTCAAGCCTGGCCCTGTCTCTCCAAGCCACCCTTTTCCTACCCCCATCCCCTACCTCCCGGGCTCAGGAGGGCAACCTTGTGCCTCAGAGACTGAAGTAGTTTCAGGACTGGGATTTGCCTGGGGGAAAACCGAAAAAAATAATTTGGGGTGGGGGTGGGAAACTAGCAAACCGGATATCACCTCCCTGGCCCTCTCCCAACACCTCTCTCAGGCCCTATGAGCCCACTCTCCCTTCCGCATCCCGAGCTGTCCTCTTTTACCTGCTCCCCCACGTCTCCTCAATAGATCATTTGCGTGGCAGGGGACCACCCGTGCCCTCCGAGAACCCGCCCTGCCTCTAAGCCGAAAGCGAGGAGGAAAAAATGGTTGGATCCTTTATCTACCCCCGCTCCCCCGCCCCCCATCCGCCCCTGGAGCTCGGCTCGAAGGTACCTCCCCCTCCCGAGCCAGAAATAGACACGCACGGTCTCTCCCCCACCGCCCTCTCCCCGCTCTCGCGTTCGCTGCCCGCCTTCCCCTCCCTCCTGCCTCGGCTCCGATCTGCAGCCCGCAGCCTGGACTCGCGCTGGAGGGCGCTGCCCGGCGGTGCACTGCTCGCGGGACTGACGGGCCGGCTGGCCGGGGCCGGGATCCCAGCACCGAAGCACCTCCGAGCCGCGGGGCTTCCACCCTACCTTTCACTGATTTTTAGATTTTAATTTGTATTTTCCCCGCCCCGCCCCTTTTCCTCCGACCCCGCCCCACCGCTCCACGGTTTCCTGGCTCTTTGCTTTTCCA